GAAGAAAAACCAAAATTCCGCGATAAACACAAGTGGGCGGGGTCAGAGGGGCGGGGCCTGGTGTGCTGTACATGGTTATTCGCTTTGCGAAGATGGAATGTGAAAAGAACTACGTCTAAAAAGTTATAAAAATACAGAGCTTACGTAACCTCATTGTGAAGGGGCGGAGTCAGATCTGTATAGGTATCAATCTTTTTCAGTTGAAGTGTGTGTGCAAAGGGCAAAAACGAAAAAAGTCGAGGAGCAGATTTCATGAAGCATCTCGGAAAACCCTGTCCGCGCTGAGAAGTGGGCGGGGATAATGGGGCGGGGCTTGCAACAGTACCTAGTGTGGTCTAGTTAACAACCACCCAAGGGGTGTCTCCGATTTGGTTTGAAAAGTGTCCTATTCAAAGTGAAAAGTCCGGATATATATATATATATATATATATATATATATATATATATATATATATATATATATATATATATATATATATATATATATATATATATATATATATAGTATATATATATATACAGGGGGGGGCCAAAAAAAAGTCATTTTTCCTCCATGACTTTCAAGGCGCTATAAGTTACACTTTATTAAATTTTTATCGGACATTTTACTACCATATTAAAGAGCACATTAAATACTATAATGATACTCCGCCACAGCCTTCTGGAGGAGCGCCATCGAGAGATTCGGCCGCGCGAAAGTGAGTGGGTACCGGAGTTGAGCGAGATCGTTGATTTCTCGCCACTGTAGACCACCCTGTTGAGCTCCGCCCGAACTAGGTAATTGAGTGGGTTCAGGTCAGGGGACATATTTCAATATTACATCTTCATCAGGTACGAAACGCCCTTCCATTCGAAGTAGGCGGGAGTTTTTCCAAAACCCTTTGATTCCATGTGGTGGCACCCGGCACCCAAACCTGTAGCAGCACAAGGTCTCCAAGAAGGTACGGGCGACCACATGTAGGGAGGATATCCTTCTCGAGTTACTTGATGTAACCGCCAGCGCTCACCTTCAGTCGGGGTCTACAAAGAAAATATCGGTCTTCCCATTCCAGGTACGGCCGGTCCACACCATCAACCCGCGCCTTGGTGAATGGGGTGAAGATGATGTCCTGGACCGTAGCGACGTTGCATAAGCTGCTCGATGTTTTTGAGGTCTTGCAGATCAAGAGTACTGGTCTCCAGGTAGCTATCCATGGGTGATTCCATTCAAGAAGTTCCGCAGCTGTTTGGAGGCCACGTGAATTCCAAAGGCGTTCTCCACTCAGGCCGCGACTGGAGATGACTTCATATTTTGGTGTACATGAAGGTGAATGGCGGCAGCCGGCTCCTGCTTATAGAGGAAGATCTTGGGTATCTTCCGCCCTGGTACTCATATCCACTTCCTCTGTCTGGGCTGCGAAAACTTCGCTCATATGTGACTCGGCCTCCGGCCAAAAAAAAAAAAAAAACAAATAAAAAGACTTTTCTTTTTGGCCCCCCTGCTATATATATATATATACTATATATATATACTCATATGCATACGTATCATATTTCTGCCATATATATTTATATATAACAGGGGGGACCAAGAAAAGCCTTTTTTCTTCCTCGATTTTCGAGGCGCTATAAGTTACACTTTGGTAAATTTTTATCGGACATTTCTACCACCATATTGAAGAGCATATTAAATACTATCATGATACTCCGCCACAGCCTTCATCGAGAGATTCTGCCACGGGACCGTGAGTAGGTGCCTGAGCTCAGCGAGATCGTTGGTTTCTCCGCAACTGTAGACCACCCTATTGAACTCTGCCCGAACCAGGCAGTTGAGGAGGTTTAGGTCAGATGACCTGCTTAGATATTCCACCTTCTTCAGGTACTCAACGCCCCTCCATTCCAAGTAGGCGAGTGTTTCTCCAACGCCCTTCGATTTCATGTGGTGGCACTCAATGCTGTAGCAGTACAAAGTTTCCAAGAAGGTACGGGCGACGGATATTGTGAGGAAGGTCCCATGCTTCTCGAGTTGTTCGATGTGGGACCGCCCAGCGCTCACCTTTCAGGTCGGGGGCCCACGGATAGAAAGATATAGGTCCTCTTCATTTCAGGTACGTCTTGTCCCTACCATGAACTGGCACCTTAACGACTGAGGTGAAGATGATGTCCTAGACCGTAGCGACGTTGACGGAGCTGCTCGATGATGGAGGTCTTCCAGATCGAGAGTACTGCTCTCCAGGTAGCTATCCATGGGTGACTCCATACTAGAAGTTTCGCAGCTGTTTGGAGGTGACATGAATTCCAAAGGTCTTCTCCAGTCAGGCTGCGACTGGAGATGACTTCATATTTTGGTGAGGTGATGGGCGAGAGCCAGCTCCTGCTTATAGAGGAACATCTTGGGTATCTTCCGCCCTGGTACTCGTATCCACGTTCCTCTGTCTGGGCTGCGAAAACTTTGCTGATATGTGGCGGCGCCGGCGCCCCTCCTTCTGATACGGCCCGGCTGTGCCGGGCGAGCGCGGCTTCGCCGCGCACATATTTCTAGACTCAACTGATATCCGCCTTTTGTTCTGTACTCCACTTTTTTCCGGTGTCTTGAGCTATTTTACAGATTCTTCGTCTGACTCCGCCCACCTCGGAGCAGGCCCCGCCCACAATGTTTGTGCCCCATCCTCACCGGCGACCCTCTGCTGACCTTAATCCACTTTTTCCGGTCTTTATAACATGTTGCTGAATTTGATGCAGACGTAATTGAGTTTTCTAACTCACACACGACGCAACATGTTTACAGAAAAAAAAACCGAGAGAAACTGAAAAGAAAGCTGCATCATCAAACCTGGTGACACTCAAGAAGAACACAAGTGAGACAGTGTGTGTGCTGGACCAATAATTGAGCAGAATAATTTCTGAAGCGGAGAGTGGAAGAATTGGCGTACAAGTCCAAAGACGAGGAACGGAGAGTATTTGCGGTTGAGAAGAGCTCAATAAGGTTTGCCATGCAAACAAGAAGCGAGTGGATAAAGTCAAGCGCCGAATGCCTGATCACAGGGACTGAAACGTTGTCGAAACTGCCCTCGAGACCAACCTTCCTGCCGCAGTCGTTGGCTGAGCTCCGCCCGAAAAGTTGAGGATGGTCAAGAGGGCGAGTGGAAGCCTCATTTTCTAAACAAGCTTGAACGCAGAACCAATTGAATGCCTACGGCGAACAGCAATATCGAATCTTCTCCCAAGGCGTCATCCGCGACTGGGTAGACGGGCCCTCACCCTCGCCCTCGGCCCACAGCAACATGGGTGCTCCTGTACACTGAATCCGATTTCACAAACGTCTTTGAACGAATGCAGATCAGAACCTGGCCGAATAATGTTATGAAAAATTATGTGAGATCGAGTATTGGGTTGGCCCATGGGTAACGGCGTTTTTTTCTCACCCAAAATTTTGCTTAAAAGTTGAAAGAGTTGCCCTTGAGGTTTATGCTGATTTGCAGAGACTTCCTCACCATGCAGTATGATCCTCTTAGTTTTCTTTGTAAATTTTGTTTGCAGTAATTTTTAACTGCTCGATTTGGACTGTCAGTCGATCAGTCGACGGAACTGGTCATTTTTGGCAATCTCTCTTTTTTACACCTTCTCCTATCAGACTGAAACCGCGCCGCTGTTTTTGAAGTATATCGCCTTTCAATTTCGATTCTCACAGACGAGTATCAAACCAAATGCGGCATTGAGCCCAACTGAAAGCTCGCTGTATCACCATAATTACGGGGACTCAAGCCAAATAATGTGGAACTGACTTGGCTCATGGAACGCCTCCGGTATTGCCTTTACGTGATGGGAAAAGTTTAAAACTAGGTGGATGAGTTCTGCAGGTAGTCGATCCCCGAGAGGGCACATGCACATTTCCAGGATTCGAGTTCTCACCCCTGAATTGCTTTGATCAGTCTCATCAACGCGTGGCCGGGAGCATTGTTCCTTGTTCATATACAAAATGTTTTGACCATTTTGACCACATTTTGCAATTCGAGAGCCTCGATTAAGTGCAAAAAGTTGTCATCACAACCTCTCATTTGTTTCGACCCGACACTCCTTTTCATTAAAGTTAAAACTGGCAAAAATCAAGAAACAGTAAGTATGCAACCATATCATCTTGTAGAGCACGGAATTATTTATCAAGAAGCATAGAACTCACTTGAAATAATTTACTTCTCCAATAAACGTCTACGTAGGAAAAAAAAGCCATCACTCGTGGGCCAACCTAATGGAAGACCACCATGCTGATCGGGTTTCGCAATGCGGCTTACCATCGGCTCTGCAAGAAAGACAAAGCTGTCTATGGCAGTGGGTATTGCCTGCTTCCCGCATACTGTAGTTGTAGGGCCTGTCTCTCAAGGATCAGATGAACGAATGGATGTTACCTCCCAACAACGAGAAAACCATCGTTGTTCATCTCAATGCGGTCTCAGCTGATCGTATTATTCGGCAACATTTCAACGGGAAGCATATCGAGGACAGGACTGCGTATTAGCCCAAGCTGCAGCCATGTGACCTCAACTGTTCTGGTCAACTGAAGGCACTGCTTGACAGCAAACGCTACGACAACTTGTTGGCACCGTAATTGGATTCAGCAGCCTTTCGATGGCACTTGCTGGGAGCACGGTGATGTCGAATGTCCGAAGGTTTTGAACATTGGGAGCAGGCCATTGGCGACGGGGGAAGGGTCAAAAATAGATAACATTTTTGTTTGCTCCCCTGTTCGTTGCTTTTAAAAAACCTTCCACGTTTTTCAATAAGATGACATAATATCGCATTGAGTCATGGATCTCTAATACGAGATCGTTCCTGTTTCCTTCTGTATTGATTCACTAAAGTTTCATCTGCTACTTGTCAAGAAGAATTACGTATTTCCTAGCTTCCTCCATACTTTATGAATCTGTTCACTAAATATGATTTCTTCAAGATATCTCGCTCCCGAAATCATCCTCAGAAAACCGTATGATGTAACCGTTGACTGGTGGTGTCTTGGGTCAGTCATGTATGAGATGCTCCATGGCCTGGTGAGAGGTCGGCCATTTTCTTCAGTAGTTTCAAATAGTAAACGAAGGTTTCAGCCACCGTTCTACTCCAGGGATCACAACGAAATGTATAATCGTATTGTGAATGAAACCCTCAAATTTAAGAGGGGACTTTCCACTGTATCTGCGGATATTATCACCGGGGTAAGATGTTTTTTATTTTCTCTTCGAATGATTAGTAGAAAGGTGCAAACAAATGATGTCTGACAGTTTACTGGAAACCTATACGGTAAGGAGTTTGGATGTGGAAAAAGCTGCACCCGAGTCTCAAACCTAAATGAAAAGAAATCGTCTGTTTTTGATAGATCCCTCTTTTGGATCCCTCTTTCGGATCTGCTGCGCAGTGGACTTCCGATTCGAAGTGTAATAGTTGTTGAATTCGTATTTGGCTTAGAAAATGTGTTTCATATGGCACATATTGTACACACAAAATATATTCTAGAGAAGTCTGATAGCAGTTCATCAACATCGAAAATTGAAGTAGTTCTTGCCTGATAAAATACAATGACGTCATGTATGAGTGTGCAGCGTTTGTTTAAGATTCTCGTTTCACATCTGTTAGATTGTCCGGAAAGTTCTCAGCGTTTTGTGTTACTATTTTTTGTACATTCATTGCTGATTAAAAACTCATTCTCCCTTGCGTCTCAGTAGTACATCCTGAAGAGAATTTTTGCGCTATCTGATGGTATAATTGCCGTTTCACCACTTGCTTGATAGACCCCTTTTTCCCAACCTTGTAGCGGTCGACGTAGAGCAATACCTGACGAGGATTTGAAGGCGTTGTGGAGGCTGACCCTCCAAAACAGTTCGAGAGATTGCAGAAAAGCTAGGCGATGGCAAATCCACTACGACCCCTTTTTGGACCGAATTGTCACCTGTGATGAAAAGTGGATCATGTATGACAACAGGAGACGTTCCGGACAGTGGTTGGATGCCGACGAACCACCGAGAAATTTCCACCACTGTAACTTCTTGTCACCAGGCCAAACCATCACAGCAGAGTCCTACTGTGAAGAAATCGACGAAATGTACCGAAAATTGCGTCAGCTGCAGCCAGCACTTGTCAACAGAAAGGGAATTCTTTTATGACAATGCCCGGCCACACTTCACACTTATGGAGAGTGAGTTCGTTCACAACACACTATCCATAAATTGAACGAATTGGGGGTTGAAGTTCTACCTCACCCACCATATTCTCCAGACCTTTCACCAACCGACTATCACCTTTTCAAACATTTTCAGAACTTCCTTGCTGGAAAATACTTCATCAATCAGGACCAGGCAAAAAAGCCTTCGTGGATTTCGTGGATTCTCGACCACCCAGTTTTTTTCTTTGATGGGATTTATCGACTGGTGTCACATTGGCAAAAGTGTGCTGATTCGAACGGTGCTTATTTCGATTGAATCCGATGAGTATTAAGAAAGTTATGATCGTTTAAAGTGAAACACTCAAAACGCTGAGAACTTTCCGGACAACCTAATAATTTGGGCAACTTGACAGTTCAAGTGTGGAGAGACCACAGTTAATTTGTTACGCCGACTCTGTAAATCATCGGCGTGGTCGTAATAGGATGTTATCCGTTTGTTCCGGCGAGGCTGCGAGGTGGAACTTTTATTATCGGACCAACATTTTGATGAGATCGTGTCCAGAGAGGCCTAAACGTGGCGCAAAATTTGCCATCCGCCGGACTCTCTCCTTCTCCTAGTCTTCTCTCCTAGCGTTTTCGATGGGACTTCAGGAAACAACCAAACACGTGACTGGAAACAACTTGTCACATTCACCGCGATATGAACAGTATGAGGTCGCTTCATAAGTTGCTAGTGATACATACCATTTTCACTTCAAATTTACGTCTCAGCTCTGTTCAAGTTAAAATCACCACTTTTCAAACCAAGCTCATACCTTTGGACCGAACTCACCGCTCTTTCACAGCAATTAGCCAGATCGCGCTAAACACCACCGCAAGCCCCAGCTCGACAGCTGCGCCTACTTTCCGCCGTCATGATTTTTCAAACTCCATTTTGTAACTCCTGATTCTACATCTTTTACGTTCCCTACTTCGCCCATTACAAGGGAGGTCGTTCAGGGCGTGCCCCGCTTTTTCGAAACGGTTCTTTGCACTTTGTAGGGCCTTGCCCATGAACCATAAAAGTGGGCTTCGTTTTCGCTGAGCGGCCCCTGGAATGCCAAAAAAGGAGCGAAAAAATATGGAAACTGATTGTTTTTGAGCCTCTACGGGCTGTAAACCGCTTGAAGATTTGAGTTGCTGAGTGTGGTGAGTGAAGTGGGTAAAGGTACTTTTGGACGAAGAGAAAAATAGTCGGTTTATGGAGTCTTACTTGTGGCACGTGATCAAGAGTGAACGGCTTTTGGAATGGTTTCTTCAACGATCGGAGGAATGTTCAGCAACAACGATCGGATGGCCTAGTGGATAGCGTGGAGGATTCTCAAGCGGACAGTTGGTGGTGGGGTTGATGGTTCGACTCCCCTCGGCGTGCGAGTTTTTGCATTTTTTATGTTTCGCTGTTTTCGCGTTCAAATATGTCTGTGCGTGAGTATAAGTTCGATAACTGCCATTTATGGGCACATTTTAAATGGGGATACTCCATGAATCGGTGCTATTCAATTATTACAGGTTTTACATACCATTAAGCAAGACCGTAGTTGAAAGTTGATCCTTTATAGGTCAGACCATGCCCGAATCACGAATATGGAACTCACTTGTAGCTATGGTGCCATTTATCGCTAATATGGAGCCACATGTTTCTTCCAATGAATGCGTTAGGTACACACATATAAGGGACGTGTAGCGCTACCCAGGCGCCAAATTACGTCGGCGCCGAAATAAGTGTCAAAATCGGGGCCATCGATTACCCCTGTAGACAATCTTTCGGCCAAAAAAATTTGTGCCTCTCATGGGCTAGGGTGTTTGTGCCCGAGAGTCTTTCTATTATAGTCTATAGTGCCTCATTATACGGATTCCCTCACTTTATTGAGATACAAACATGAAACCAACAATATCGATGAAAGAGGAAGGAAAGGGATGTATTCGTCCAGGTCGACTCAAAAAAGTTGAGGAAGTGAAATGAGAATTTCTGTTTCGGTGGGGGAGATTGAGATCGTTTTTGTGCAAGTAGGCGACAGTGATTGGCAAAGACCCAGAATGCTTTTTCACGAATGCCGACCAACCACACTGATGCCAAGCATGAAAGGACGTTGGGCGCGCTTCCTGCCCGGCGGCTGCTACGTCGTCGTTCCATCATCGTCTTTACGAAGATGGGATACTCCGGTCACCACTGCCGACCAAATGGTCCACCAAAACCCAAAAAATCGAAAAAAATTTTTGGCTGGAAGTCCGTCCATAAGGGTAATCGATGGTCCTGATTACGATTTTGACACTTATTTTCGAGGTCGACGCAATTTGGCGCCAGTATAGCGCTTAACGTCTCTCACATGGAGGTACATAGTGCATATTTCGCTCCTTTTTGGCGTTCCTGGGGCCGCTCAGCGAAAATGAACCCCACTTCTGTGGTCTATGTTCAAGCCCCTACAAAATGCAAAAAACATTTTGAAAAAGCGGGGCACGCCCTGAACGACCTTCCTCGTTAAGTCTATTGCAACGCTGACACAAAGGCGGATCCCTCCAATTTTTAGGGACTTTCTTGCAGATTTCGAATTTGCATCACTTTTCGCAACTTTGCTGTCGAGCCAAGTTCACAATTTTTCAGACCAGAATCACTACTTCTCGAGCGGAATCACGACTCCTCGAAGAAATTCACGATCTTTTCAAAGAAGTCCACCATTTTGAACCACATTTAAAAAAACAAACCCAATTCTTTTCGTATTCCCAATTTTTCAAACCCAAGTCGCGATCTTTTCAAACAAATCCACGATATTCGAAACACACTGACGAATTTTCAAATCAAATCCACAATTTTTTCCAAACAAATTCACGAATTTTTTCCAAATCAAGCTCACGAGTTTCATTAAAATTGCTGTTAATTAGAGGAAAAGTTGCGGGTTTAATAATAATATTAGCACATGGTTATACATCTACTTTAATATTTTATGTAATTGGTGAATTTTATCATGTTTCTTCTAGACGAATAATTTATTTTATAAACAATTTTATAAGTTCAAGTATAATAATTAGAATTTTATTTTCGTTAATTTTTTTATCTAATAGTGGTGTCGTTGTGTTGTCTTTTTTATCCAGAATTTATAATTGTGAATAATTATATAATAAGGAAAATATTATTTTTTTTATTTTTCTATAGGTTTTAAGATAGCTACTTATTATTCATTATTGTTGATTGTAGCTGGCTTTCGCGTGGTAATTATAGTTGAAGACACATGGTTACGCTCAAACACATTGGAGGGTGTATGAGAGCTACTCACCCCCCCCCAGCTGTCGATGTGTCCCCCGGCAAAATGTCGTACGGGTCTGGAGTACGAGAGCCGTGGAACAGGTCGTATTCCTTGCGTACACTCGTCAGCCGCCCGTCACTTTTTGCTAACATCCATCCGCGGCGCGGTGTCGTGTGCAGCTCTCTTGCTTTTTGCAAGTCCTGTAATTGCGCTTTGGAATACAAGTACAACGCAATTTCTTTATGCGGATAACATTTTAGGTGCTGCAAAATAAGAACCGAAGATGATGACAAGGGCTAGAACTCAAGAGCAACTGTGGTGCTTCTGCAATATCCTCAGAGGCCGCGCATTCCCACAGAGCATGACAATAAAAACGGACAACATGACAATAAAACGTGACAATACAAGACGGCGAATTTCTGCAACATTTGAGTATCTTGCACTGCTTCAAAGTCCGAATAAAAGGTGATGGAATCAGATGACAAAGGTAAGAAATGAAGCAACAACGAAGGTGTAGATTAGAGAGAAGAGACAAAGAAAAACTTAAGGATCTAATAAATTAAACGCGTGTGCATTTCTGCGATCCGGCTCGAATCCGGCTAATGCTATAGAAATACTTCAAACTAACGAGTGGGACGCTTAGGCCGTTTTTATTTTGATGTTTTGTGGGAATGCGCGGCCTGCGAGGGCTGTTGCAGAAGCAGCACAGTTGCTCTTGAGTTCTAGCCCTCGTCATCATCTTCAGTTCTTATTTTGCAGAACCTAAAATGTTATCCGCATAAAGAAATTGCGTTGTACTTGTATTCCAAAGCGCAATTACAGGACTTGGCAAAAAGCC